CACACACACACACACACACACACACACAACCTTCCCATTGGAATTGACACTCTGAAAACACCATTTGCTCGATCGGAATGGGGGGTAGCAAAAATCAACACATGGCACTAGCTTCAGAAACATTACCGCTACTAAAAACCGAGAACAAACCAATAAAAAACGCACAACACTACAGACACAAACTCCAGTCACCTTCCATCGTCATCAACGCCAGCAACCAATTGTCCATCAGAAGCAGCCAGAAAAAGTAGACAACATGCTGCAATAGCAGCAGCACCATCTCTCAAGATCAATAACCTACTACATAGCCTATTCATCATGACATCATTAAGAAATGGAATCCTCCTCCCGTAGTGACTATGCGAGTTTGATGAATAGGCTATAGTGCTCGCAGATGTGGTTACTATCATAGGTACCCAGGATATCGTGTTCGGAGAAGTAGATACGTAACCCTTCGTGTCATATAATAAGCTCTGGATCCAAAACACACTTGAACCAATGACTGCAAAAATACTAATAGCGATCGTTATCAAATCTTTTGAAATTCAGAGATAAAAAAGACACGAGCTCTTCGATTACCCAAAACACGCACGTTATATACAGTGTTACGATCGCCTCATATACAGAACATGCTGTAAAAGGCTAAAAGCAGCATTTCCATCTTTCAAGCCCGATCAACGACGCTGACGCTGGTCTTGCTTCTTGACACCTTTTGTTTTGTCCTCATGAAGCTGCTATCAGGTTCTCTCTGCTGTGGATGCCCTGCTTGCTGCTGTAGCACTTCACAGAGGGACATACAGAAAAATGTGCGAGTCGCTACTAGCCCTTGTCAAAAGGACATCCAGAGGGACAGAGAGAAAAATTGTGCGAGTCTCTACAAATCGAAGCGAGTCTCTACAAATCGAATCCGTTCCGTAGTGTTGATCAAACAACCGCAGCTACATCTTTACACCCAAAAAAAGAGAGGACAAGGGATCATCGCCATGAAACCCAAGATTATAATTTTTAGAACATCCAAAACAAGATTTACCACCTCGAAATTCGAGCTCTTCGTGCCATGGACAGGTGCAATCCATAGGCTGAGAGGAGAGGGACACTCCACTCCATATATAGCCCTTCCCTCCCATCCATCGCGCCGACTAAAACACATGCATGTCGACTGTTGTCCCGATCGCCTACATCAATGTGCACGATGAACGGTTGTTCCCATAACCTACCTTCCATCGTGCCGACTAAAACACATGCATGCCAACCGTTGTCCCGATTGCCTACATCGATGTGCACGATGAACAGTCGTTCCCATCACCTACCTTTCATGCTGTCTCTTAAGCACACACACGGCAGTGTGTTAATAATATACTCGATATCCACATTTCGTTCTAAGGCGAACAAGCCCTCCTCCTGCTGAACCCGAACAGTCTTCTCCCCACTCCAACGACGATTTCTCAACTCCCTCTCACCCTGAATTACCTTCGACTTCAGCCCGTAGTCTGAACGAGCTCCCAAGTCGAAGTCAAACACGTGCTCGAAAATGCGCGCTCTCAGTAAACGTCGACAACGGCACTCGGCACTTCCTCGACTTCAGCCGCCGCCCACAGAATCTCTGCCCCCAGAATCTCTGCCCAAGTCTTTACCATTTTGCGTGACCGTAAGCACCGCGCGACGTGCAATTTTATAAAACTTAAAACTTCACACATACATTCCACTTCTCTAAAGCATCTAAAGTTTCTAGACCACAAGCAGCTGCTGAAGGGGTGGGAAGTTTGTCAGCGCCCTCCTCCGTGTAAACGGTCACGGTCGGGTTCCAAAAAAATCCTCCCTCGGTTTCATTTCCTCCAGCAATATTTCAATCGACCGCACCTCCGATGCAACATAACCTAGTCCTTGCTAGTGCTCTTTCATAGGCCCCTCCCAACAGCCAGTCAGGCGCACTCTGTCTCAAGTCTGTACAAAATACCTCATTAAAGCAACCGCCCCGTCCCCCCTGAATACAATGTGGGGTGGTTATCGTATCTTCATCTCATCTCGGACGTAATGTTATGACAATTGCATAATATATTTCTGTTATCTGAAACTGCATTCAATCAATACACATACAACTCCATCATAAAAGTGGGAGACTGATCTCTAAAAAGTCAAAAACCATCTCCCTTTTGACAGGATTGCGACTCGGTGCAGGTTATCCTTTGACAGCAGAAGTATCGTTTCTCGATTTATGTGTGTCGTTATGCTTGTGCAGCGGCGGCATTCTAATCTATCTTCTCTGCTTTATTCCACTTTTCAACGGATACCCATTTCTCGATGTATGCATGCCATCTTCACGCAGGGGCCAGGCTTATTTACCCTTACAGAAGAATACTGTCATTTCCCCCTTTTAATGGCTGTTGCGAGAGAGACTGCTCCAGGCAGACGCAACCCAAATCAATCACAGGTAGAACTTTTGCCGTCACATATATGTGAAGCAGTCGACACATTGTGAACACTGATCCAACACCATTTTGCCCTTTGGAGCGGCAGCAGTACCTGAGTACCTTTCCCGGCTGTTTCCCTCCAAGTCGGTGCACTGAACGTGCCGCATCCCTAGGGGGTCAGCCTAGGGACGCGAAATGAAATGCCTGGCAGCAGCAGCCAAATGTTTTGGATTTTGCACCCGTTCCGCTTCGACAAAACTCGATGTGCCGCAGAAGACGGCATTGTGAAAACAAGGCTTTGACGTACTGGTGGTTTAATTGCTGTCACAAGAGACTGCTTGGGTCCGATGTACTAGAATCACACCAGAATCACAGGAACAGCATGGGATGGGCAATTCATGCCAGCCGCCACCCACAGCTATGGTGTATCTATACCTAGCTTTGAGGGGTCCTGTGACTCCTGTCCCATAGTTATGAAGTACTGCACTGTGCTCCATTCCCTTGGTACCATAAATAGCTCAACAGCGTACCTCAAAAGCACCTCCACAGTGCCTACTGTCTACAGACTACAGCCCCCATGTTTTATAAACAACGTCCCTACACTGATGCTCTGCCTTGGAGATGAATCCAATGTTGCTACACTTGTCCATGAGTGGAAACACTGTAGCCGCAATCGAACTGGGAGATTGGGACTACAATCAGACTGGACTCCCCCCTACTTACGGGTACACACTCGGATCGACATCGTGTAGGCAGAACTAATATGCGTTCGGGTGTGTTGAAATGAGTACGAAAACGGACCCATGCTATAGCATGGCATGGAAATACGCCAGTTCTACGGCCAACCGCCTCCACTCCCCTTCCACTGGCAGATGCTACAGCTACGATATATGTTCGCAATCTACCGCCTACAGATCGCTCGGCTGCCACAGCAACTGCGCACTCGCACAGCAAGGAGATGAAAGGTCGCCAGCAAATGCCATGCAGGGTTTCCTTTAGTCCACCCTCTCTTCAACAAGAGAGCCCGAGGCTTCCAGCTTGTCAGCTCCCGGACCAGGTGCACGGTTGAGGCACCAAAGATTGCTGTCATGAAAAACAGAAAGAGGAGTTCTTCTAAAGCATTTCGATGCAACGGAGGGGCCAGAACAGAAAATGTAAACAGTCCGATTAGCCACGGAGCGAACATGGCGATCGGAGCCGAGTACAGCCCACACAGGCACAACAAGCAGCTTAAGGTCCCTCCAAAGTACAGGGCCCAAGCTACACGACAGTAGACGGTGCTGGGAATAAGAAGCCCCGGAACAATGTATGACAGGACCAACAGCACAACGAACGACACTTTCACAGTTGGACAATGAACGGCCCTCGCTTGCTCTTTAGACTCAGAGCAGAGCTTCCAGTCCGGAGACCTCAGGAGCCCACTACCTGCAGAACATTTGCTTGGCGAATCCACGCCATTTGTCCCTTCGGTCTCCTTGGAGGTGACGACTCCCTTCCCGCCCTGTATGTGGGAAACCGAATCCTGCGAGTGCTCCTCGAGGAAGTAAGAGATCGGCAAGTAATCGACAAACTCCTGCGACAAGTTCTCACGGACACATTTCATCATTTGCAAGGCACCACAGAACACCAGCACGCTCCACAGCAGCGCAAGCCCGAGCAAGACCGGGGCCTCCTTTTTGTACCCGAGCAGCTCACGTCTCTGCTCATGCCATTTCAGTGACAAACTCAGAAGAGGCCAAGACCACCAGTACCATGGTTTCAATGATGGTGCAGCAGGGAAGGTTATTACCTTCGCCATGGATGCTGGTATTTGCCAGTGGTGCTTCAGGTCTACAGCCGGTGAAGAAACCAGACATGCCCACAAGCAGAGAGAGAGAACAAGTCAGTAATC